TGTAAGCCGCCTAGAGTTGCTTTGGATAATGAGATGGGTGGCATATAAATTAAATAAAGAAGTGTCTGCCTAATAAGATACAGTGATTGATACTAAGTATGCTGTAGAAGAGGAAGAGAAGCAAACATTTAAATGCTTACTTTGATCAGGTAAACAAATCATTTTATAAACAGAACGGGCATTTAAAGTTAATGCAATTGCTTATATTTGTAAAAATACATAATTCATAAATGAAAAGAAATTTGGAGAGAATTGTATCCACTTGGCTATTTCATATGGAATCCAAAAATCCAATGACTAACTAATTGAATGTATCATAAGCACCTCTTCAAAATAATTGCCTCACAGATCTTTGTGTAACCCTATACAAGTAAGTGTAATAAATATATAAACATAGAATCTGTTGCCTCTGAATGGTACATAGTGAGTCTGAACGTCTTTTCCATGTACAACATCAAGTCAAACCATATCATATTATAAGCTCTTGTTTGGAAATATCTGGCAATTTCCATATTGATTAGGAGAGGCATTGGGTAAACATGACATATTTTTTCTTCTGTGAGTTTTAATGGCCCAACCAATCAGCACCCATCTCAGTAAAGGACTTTCTGCTCATTGAGCACTGCAGTACTTAGACCCCTAGTGAAATAGAGCCTACAAAGTAATTAACTGGATTACAGTGCTGAGATTCTAGGCATTATGAAGACAGACTTACTAAGGCCACAAGCACATACACATCAGTGACAGGAGGGGGAAGTGCATCTCTATCGTTCTGCAGGACAATTCCAAAAGGCAGGACAGCACATAATTTCCTTTCAGATCAGGAAAACAGAGGCTTGACTGAATAAGAAACAGTTGTAATGTAATGTACATTACATTGCACATGACATTGTAATCTAATGTAAAGGTAATGGATTTACAGTGTTAGCTATTAAAGCATCATAGAAATTTTTTATAGCTCTGACACTAATATTTATGGCTCAGGGAGGCAATCTCCAACATGGTTGGACTCATTGCCTTATTTAGTAAATGAGGAGGAACATATTATGTTTTCTAAAACTTATTTTAGAAATGACTAGCCCTGATGATGTTACCTAGTTTGGATAATGAAATGTCTGCAAGAAAACAGCCAAGTGCAGAGAGCGCCAGGGACCCTTGACTTATTTTAGAGCTAACTAGCATGTATTTATATATCCATACATAGTAAGACACATCTGTGCAGTTACTGTGTAAATACTATATCCACATGTATCTAAGCAAATACCTAAATGTCAAAAAACAAATGCACACAGAAAAATCTTTGCAGTTTTTATACTTTTCTTTTATATGCAATAAATGTAGCACATCTGTACGCACTTCTTTATTTAAAAGAACATATCCAAAATATTACAGGCTGAAATCCAAGCAAATTGCATTGTTGATTTTTAAAAATCCTTTCTCACCCCTATGGGGAGTGTGTGCTTTCTCAATCTCAGGTCTTCTACCAAAGCCCTAGGATTTTGAGAGCTCTGTTCAGTATCTTACACTACTCCTAACACTGGCCTATCATTCACTGTTCAAGACATTCTCCTAATGCTAAGCGACCTCCTGAGTCTTGAATGCCATGAAAGAAGCAGCTGATGCCAATATACAAGTACTATAGCATATGCAGGTAATAATCCTTGATGAAATGGTATTACCGCTAAAATAGCAGCAGAGAATTGGAAACATTTAGACAATCAACCCCTGCACAGAACAAAAATTCAAATTACATCCTTGTCCGATTATTGCCCTTTCCAGCAAATATATCTTATCACCTTTAATAATTGGTTCTACTATAAAATTGTTATTATTATTATTATTGGAAAGTTTTTCCTAGTATTCAAGCAGAAGCTGCTTCCTGTAATCAAATGACCATTATTCTATATCTTGAATACAGACAGAATAAAAAAGATTTTCTTGTATGTGACAACCCTTCAAGTATATAAAAGAATGCTATCATGGCCTCCCTTTGTCATCTTTCTCAAAACTAAACATTCCCAACTCTTTATCAGAACTGGACAACCTACTCAAGGTGGAATCTGATTAATTTAGAATATAGTGGAACTATTTTTTTTTGCAGCAATTCCACTCTGCTCATTCAAATAAAAACAGGCTATATATTGAGTCAGAGAATAAATAATTCCAATACATGTTTCATATACATTACCAACAAATCAGTTCTTTTATATCCTATAACTGTGGATGGTATTACGTTTTTAATGTGAAAAGCTTTCAATTCCTCTTGGACAATAGGGAGTTCATTACACTAAAAAATCAAGACCATTTTGAGTCATTTGTCATTTAAACCAGAGTTCTCCAATCTTTTTAGTTTTGCGGGCTGGTGGGTGTGGGGGGAGGGGAGGGGATGGTTCTGTGCAAATGGAACACGCACGGACGAACTCACCAGCTGCTTGCAAGAGTGGGGATGCACGCATGCGTGTGAGGACACACGCACCTACCAGTTCCACGGCTAAGTTCTGAAAGGCTCATGGCCCGGCAGTGGACTGCAGCCCAGGGACCCCTCTTTTAAACTAATTATCCAGTTCTGTATTACCTGCAAATTTGATAAGCAATTCCTCCCCTTATTTATCCAATTTATTAATAAGAATGCTAAAGTGAATCAGTCCCAAGTATTGAACTCTGCAACTTCAGTCCAATTTATTGAGAAACTACAGTTTTCAAGCCAACTTCAGAGTCAGCTAATAGAAGAATTAACTGGATGACATGTTTAAGTGCATTTCTATATGTAGACACTAATTATCTCACTAAGCTATAAGTTATGTATATATTTGAAAATTTTGACAACTATTTTCCTGATTGATTATATTCTTCCTATGATAGATAAGATGAAGTTGTGCTTGGTAGGTAGAACACTTTGTTTGGGAACCCTACTCATTTTGAATGCCTAATAAACAATGTAGCAAGTATACACTACTTCACAAACACTTCTAGAATCACTGGGACTGTCATTTTCAAATGTGCAGGCAAAGCAAAATTAACAGAAGAGTCAGCATACAAAACAACTGATACACAGCAATATAACAACCATGTATAATTGTGTAATGCAGAACTACACTGGCAGGCATTCAGTGTCAAGTGCTATTAGAGTTGGCTTGGAGAGAAGGTAAATGGATGGATAGATGTATGGACAAACAACAAGCTGTCCTCAAGAATTCCAATAAGAAACAATAAATGCAAATGATACTTGGTCTATCTTTATATAGTTGATAGAGCTGCAGGATAACAGAACTTTAACAATATCTCCCCAACTGTGCTAAAAAATATTCCAAAATTAGCCACTGGAATGGCAAATTCTTCTTTATATTTATGATGTCCTAGGAACACACGTGAATATGTTTTAATATATTTATTGTTTGTGATGCCATGAGTGACTGCTAATGAACAGAGGTTTTTTTAATTGCAAGTTATTCAAATAATCTTTAAATCCTTTGAAGGATTTTGCTTGGACCTTGTCTGGCTGCAACTACACCAAATGACACAACTGTTGCATTACAACATTTTCGTTGCAAGCAGAAGTTGCTTACTATCGCTCTAAATGGTTGAGATGACAGGTAGCATTTTCTATTGGTGGAATCTTCACTTATTTGGCAATCTTCTTTTGGGGCAGCCTTCGCTTTCATTTTTATACAAATGGTAAATTGAGCAAGTAAGAAATTGGGGAAATTGGAGGGAGATAGGTGGTCAAGATTTATGTTATGTATGAATGTATGTATGCATGTATATACATATGTGTGTGTGTATAATATATAAAATAAAAATAAAAATGATAACTTTACCAATCCAGACATTTTAAAAAGCAGTTTAAGGATAGACAATATGGCATTTACAAATGAAGTGCCATCAACTCTATACATTACCAATCCAGACATTTTATTTTAAAAAGCAGTTTAAGGATAGACAATATGGCATTTACAAATGAAGTGCCATCAACTCTATACTTAATAAGTGTTCAGAATAAGGCAATTAAATGTTCATGAACTTTATACAGTAACTGCCTCTGTATTTATAGAGATATCTAAAAGTAAGTGAAGAAATATAAGAGTTGGATGATGGAGGGAACACAAATATCAGATTATGCACTGAACAGGGTTTAGATGTACAATATTTTTATATGCATGTTTTCTTGATGTGTTATGTTACATTAGATCTGTTAGGATAGGCTATTATTAACATAGTTATTATCACTGCCTTTTAAAACATGAAGCATCATTTCAGATTAATGTTTGCTCATATCTTCACCTATAAAATAATCATTCAAATATGTACTAATGAATGCTTAATAAGTTGTTGACTATAATGGCTGAAATGAAAGGAACTTTAGGCTTTACAAAACTTATTAAACAAAACTGAAGAAGCACAACAGCTAACAGTTGAACAATAGTTTTAATGAAACCAAGCATAGAGATACAGAGCATAAACATATAACTAAACTCACAACTGCTTTTATAAATTAAAAATGAGGGAAGTATTAGCATATTTCTAGAGTGTTTATTGCCATTTTGAATTCCCTTTTTATTTTGTCACCAAAGTAGTATTTCTAAGGATGCCAACATATGGCTTCTGAACTATACAGGGGAACAACTTAAGGAACAATCATGCACCAGGATCGTACCTTAAATCCTAAAATTTTAGCAAGATTTATTAGTAAGCAGATGCAATGAAATAGCCCCCATGGATGAATGTTTCTGTTAAAAATATCAGACACATCAACAAAGAAGTGCCATGAGAACGATTCTTCTCACCCAGGACTTAAGAGTAACATGTTTATGAATGTAAGAAAACAAATATAATGTGGGACCTACCATATTCAGGTTCTTCACCTGATTTATAACTTTCTATTTCCATTTCCATTATCTGCAATATTCCTAAGTTAAGACCTACTTAACTGAAGAGAAATGAGCAAGGGAAATGAAAAAAATATGAAAAGAAATAAAATGAAAACATCAAGTCCACAGTACCTGCTGCTGCTGAAAGTGGAGGAGCTCTACTGGGCTCATTTCTCCATTAGTTTCTCCACTGGCTCCTCCCTCTCTTCCACATCCTCCTCCTCCACCGCCACCACCTCCTCCTCCTCCTCCATCAGTTGGATTGTTTAGGCTGCTGACACCATTTTGACCGGAGGGAGTAGAACGTATTGTCTCTGAGGCTGATTCAACCATCATGACTTGCTAGCAGCACCTTTATAAAGAAAGAAATGACAAGATATCTGAGCAAAGATATGAACTGCAGGTTCTAAATTATGATTGAGGATAGCATTCTAATAAGTGATGTTTCATTCCTTTATCTTCTTTGCAAAGGAGATGTGTAGTTGTATTTCAAAAAATAAGATTTATACACTATTTTTGAATTTAAAATATAGTTTTTTGACCCATTTGCTAATAAAACCATTACCAATCAAATACATCACTTTAGCTATTTTTCCCTTTCTTAATAGTGTTGCTATGAGAAAGGGAAATTCAGGATGTTACAGATGGAAGACAGTGATGTCAAGAAGATCTAGACAACTCGCCACAGCCAACTCACTATGACCAATTCATCATGGCTAATTCAGTGAATCCAACCTGTCGCAGTCAATTCGCCATGGCCAACTCACTGTGGGACAACTCACCATGGCCAACTCACTGCAGGACAACTCGCCACAGGATGAGAGTTACAGTAATATCAAAGAAATAATGGAATAGAATTGTTAAAGAAAGGATGCAAAAGGTGGGACAAAATGAAGTGTTAATGACAAAAATATTTTTAATTATTTTAAATGATTAAATAAAATTGTGGAATTGTCCCACAGGGAGTTGCCCTATGATGAGTTGGCTGTGGCAAGTTGTCCCACAGTATGTTGGCTGCAAAGAGTTGGCTGTGGTGAGTTGAGCATGGCAAGTTGTCCCATTCCGATGTCAAGAAATCTCTCGTATAAAGTTCTTTGACAGAGATATAGCAAATTGTAAAACAAACATGTAAGTGTGAATTGATGATGCTATCAGTTTAATCATAATATTAATCCAGCTCTCCAGTAATTACAATTTTTTTTGAAGAAATGACAATTTCACCTGAAATCAATAAGATGCTTCAAAAAATCTTTGAAAAAAACTGCCCCTTTTCTGTAGTGCTAGTTAACAAATGCCTGAGCAAATATCATGTGCTTATCATGTGTTAAACATTAATTTTATTCCTATCTTTTCTTTAACTTGGATAATCCTATGTCATCAAGAAATAATTATTATTATATTGTTGTTGTGCAAAACCCAGAGTTGCCTTCGTTGAGATAGGTGGCTATATAAATTTGATTAATAAAATAAAATCATTACTTTATTTTATTTATTTTATATTTGCATCTGTTTTTCCCCTCAAAAAAAGAGATAAAACCAGCCAATATCCATATATAAGGAAATATAATATTAAGTGCAAATGCTGCACAAATCTTTTAATAGAATTTTCATTCCATAGCAAAGGGGAAATAGACAATATAACATTTATTATAATTAACAAGGAGATCATAAACTATTTTCAGACAAGTACAAACACCAATATCCCCAAGTCAGCAATTGGCATAATAAATTATATACATTAGGTACTAATCTGCTCTTGAACTACTTCGAACAAAGAACTGAGTACTTTATATAGCAGTAGTATAATACAATGAGAACCACCACCTCATGAAAATTTACAGAGTAAAAACCAACTTCTCAATGCAAATTAATACAGAGACAGAGCGTTGTTCATTTGCATTGTGTTCAAGCATTGTTAACAAGTACAGGCACTAATGCACAACTACTGTTTGATATGTGCAAATTGTATAGGAACATTGCGATGAACATGGCCATAAACTCAATTTCAGAGCTACTAAGTTTGTTGGCTGAGTGGGTACAAAAATAGCCAGGAAAATGGTTGAAGCCTGGGAAACATGCCCTTGTCAGTCAACAGGAACGCTGATTTACCACCAGCTTATCAGGTACTTTAGAACCAAGGACTGGCAGCACAAGGAAACAAGTGCCAACAACTTAATAACCAGCCATGAACCTAATCAACAACTAAAAAGTCATACACAACCAGGCACCGCATAAATACTACTCACAGAATAAGTTGTCTGATGATGGGTTCCATCATTGAGTCTAAAAGCTCGGAAGATTAAACCTCTAGTCCCAGTGACTGACTCAGATTGGATCCTCCCAACATTATCCTGGGAAGCATATATTTGCCTTCATTCTTTGTACAGGAACATTTCTGGATGTAAACCAGTGAGGAAGTGATTGATTGAAGGCATCTGTAGGTAATCTAAAATTTTTCTAACAAATATCCTAAAAAGGCCTATTTGTAGACAGTATTCAAATTAGGCAGAGCCAAATTGGTGTAGTGGGTAAAAGCCATGAGGCTAGAAGCTGGAAACCTGTGAGTTCTAGTTCTACTTTAACTAGCTAGATGATCTTGGGCCAGTCTGTCTCATAGCCCTAGGAACAAGTCAACTGCAAACCACTTTCAAAAGCCTTGACAAGAAAACTGCAGGGACAGTCTCCAGAAACACTGATTTGAAAGAACACACACACACACACACACACACAATCTGAAAGCACACACATAGTTTCTTCATAGACACTATGAGGTAGTTAGGAAACTATTCTAAAAGGACCTCTAGAACCAAACTCACTCTCTCATATTACTGACACTTTGTAGGCAAGATGCTGGGCATAGGCAGTAAAAGTAAATGAATAAAGCTGGAAAATCATCTATCATAAAAAAATGTTGCTACAGCTGTTTAATTCAAAGTTTCATTAGAGACAAGCAATACCATATTAAAAATGTTAGGTTAAAACCTGTGAGAAACTATTCCAATAGTTATATGCCACTATCACTGTGCTAGTGGAGATAAGAACTGCATGCCAATACAATTGGAGAGCAGAATAGTTAGGAAAGTTTACAATTTCTAGATCACAAAATGTTTGTGAAGACAAAGAATTGAGAAAACACACACACACACACAAATTATGAGCAAAGATACATGACTCTTCCAGACACAGGACACAAAGATATTCATTTATTTGTTAAATATGTATCCCACTTTTCTTCAATGAGCTCAAAGCTGCTTACTCAACATTCTCTGTTCCAATTCCTCTGTCCTCCATGATCAATTCTATTCAGTGGGCTCGGCTGGGAGAATGTGACATATCCTAACTCACCAGAAAGTTTCCATGGCTAAAAGTAAACTTGAGTCTGAATCTTCCCAGTCACAGTCCAACATTTGACCATTATACCACACTGGCTCTCAAAACCTTTCTATTCAAAAATTGCAAGAGACTATATAAACCGCATAAAGAGGTCAACAGTGGGAAAGATTGCTCACTTCTCCAAACCATTAGCACCATGTGAGTTCATTATTAGGAAAGACTGTCATACTTGAATTCTCCAATATAGTAACAGAGAGTAATTCTACTTCCACCCTTTATAGAAAGGTTCAGAATATCCTCCAATTTTAATTTTCAACATTATCCTCCAATTTTACAATACCCTCCAATTTTAATTTTCAACATTAAATAATGCCAATAAGGTTTTATGTATTAAAACTGTAAAAGGACAATCTCCATTACAACTTTTAAAAACTAGGAAGCAGGGGGAGAAAAGGAGTCATTCCTACCTCTGTCTGTCAATCCTTCCTCTCAACTACATTAGGGCTTAGAATGAAGAGAAACAAAAAGCAAACTTGCTTGTCCTCATGCTGCCAGCACCCCATGGCAAAATTAGAATAATATCCATTCCCAATCATCAATTTCTTGTCTCACTTAGCTCTGTACACAGACAACAATCTTCATTATTGCAAGACCCATAAAGTCTTGCTATTCTCCCACTGCTTGGGATGGGGCAATACACTTCTCAGTTTGAATGCATGAAAGATAAAGCTTTCTTAGATGGTTGGACAATAACAATCTAACATTTCTCCCACTCTCCTCTCAGCAAAGCAAAATACCCAGATCCTCAAATGCAAAATACAGTGCAGAAGATTTTGGAAATTTTACTTTTAGTTGTCCCGGATATTCAGACTAATAATTTTGAAAGTAATTTGTGTGGAGCTTTGTCCTCAGTTCAAACCACAGTCAGTATCATGAGATGAACAAGAATGTAAAATGATTACTCGCTGAGTAAATTACCCAGCAACACTTGTCTATCATAAGAACTGTCTCTGGATAAGTCCCAGCAGCTGGTACCAGTATGCCTTTAATATATGAAGGCTGGGAGAGAAGAGAGCTTCAAAGAAGTCCTTCGGAGGTACTGCTAGGCTGCTGTTTATGTTCCGAAGTTGAAACTCTTGAAGGTGTATTCTAATCATGATCACTATTTCCTCTGCCACTACTAAAATGAATTATTCATCTACAAAGTGAAAGCAGACTCAAATATGTATTCAAAGTATTTCAGTAATCTAGCAAATTGAAATTTAAGGAGGAGATAGAAAATTTGTAGCTCAGGGCTGAACTGTGGGATCCTCAGTGTCCTCTAAGCTTGGTTGTTTTGTTACAAACATTTCATTACTCAACTAGGTAATATCTTCTGAGGAGGAAATGCCAATTGTTTTAAATTGATTATCACCAATTTTGAGTGACAATCAATGAGTAATTTCTACTATTGTAATTACATTCAGAAATCTAGATTCAAACTAATGGTAATGAAAAACAAACAAACAGGCACACTGTGATTTTTCACTTTCTTCCTCTATTAAAAAAAACAGTACTCATCCTTCCTTCAAGACTGCTGCTTTCTAGATCAAATGAAGCACAAAGCCCACACTTGGAACTGATCAGACAAGTAGTCAGCAAGTTTCAAAGCAAAAGGGGCAGAAGAAGAGTGGTTTTTCTTTTTTTTACTATCCTTTTTTTTCTACTGCATGTGGATTTTGCTTTTGTTTTTTTGGCACAATAGACCGACAAACTGGGAACAACATAATTGCTGAAATGTGGCATGTAATAATAGCTATTCAGAAGCTATCATTCATATTAAACAGGGTGAAGCAAGCTTCTCATTTGCATGTTTGAGATTATATGCATTTCAAAAGTCATTTCCACAGGATATGTGAATGACATTAATTCCCATGTGGAGTTGTCGATTCCCTCCTGTAGCCCCTCACACTATCAAGTACACACAAAGTGACACAGTATGACACACTTGTACCAGGGAATTCAAAGACAGAATGTTAC